TTTACACGAAAAGGTTGATTGTCAAAGCCTGAGCACAATTATCTAATCAGCTCGAAAGGTCACCACGGCGAGTAATACATTTTAGCTAACGGTTTTAATCGTAAAGTGATTAATGACAGATTCATAAAAGATCATATTTATTATCATAAAGAAAAATACTGAAAGGAAAATGCAACCGCATAAAACGGAACCATTTGCGGCAGGTGCTTAATGAAAATAAATAGGCGGAATTTGATTCGCTCACCTTTTGCCGCCTAATTCAAGAGTGACAGGCGTTAGATGTTTAGCCACCTGTGAGAGTACACTTCGGGCTGCGCCTTCCCCTCCTGTATAGAAGACATAATCAAAACGATGCTCGTCTAAGAGCTTCATTGTTTCCTTTGCATCCCCAGTAAATACTTGACATACAGTCTAGGAGAGGAAGGAAGGGAGATTTAAAAGCGATCAGAAAAATTCAGTAAGCGTCAAGAGACTAATCCAACCGAGAGAGCTCTTTCAGTACTAAAATAGTTCTAGGTGCAAAACTATAAAACTTTATGGAAAAAACATTTCAATATCACTCCTTCTTTAATTCCTTGGACTCCATATTCTGTAGGCTCAAAATAGGTAGTCAAACACTAATTTGATGCACATAAAACTATTTACTACACGATTGAAATGTAATATCTGCAATCTAATTTCGAACTGCTTAAGTACTGTCTTTTCATTTGTCCACATGTAAAAGATATATCTTGATTAATGAGGAATCAAAAACGAAAATCTTTTGTGCAAAGCAAATGCTAACCAGCCATTGTATCAACGCACTCCTGTCTCATTCCTCACAACAACTGTCAAAAAGAGTATTTGAAAACGAATTATAAAACACACATACATAGATGATCTGTGAATTCTAATTATCGTAGTGGGGAGGGTAAAATCTCATAAAGGCTAGCACTTAAACCCCATGAACCCGGGCAAACATGCCTCATCAATATAATTGGGTAAATGTTTGGCGATGTAGGCCTCGGTTTCTGAAGCCATTTCAGAAGGTTTGAGAACAACAGCGTTTCCAGCTCCCAAAGCACCAATAAAGGGAACAAAAAGAACATTGATTGGATAATTCCAAGCTCCAATGACTAACACACGACCATAGGGCTGTCTTTGAATACTAGTGTTGTCAAAGAAACTTAGAGGAGTTCGAGAAACCTGGAAAAACCAAATTGCTTGTATGAGCAAAACTTTTATTGCAATAAAACTAAAATAAGTGAAAAAAACTTGCAGATTTCTCCCTACACCACAACTCTAGATTATTGATCATTGAATTTATTGCCATTTTTACAGAGACAATTTCGCATGTTAAAAATTCCACCCGAGGCTAAAATAAATCCACATAAGCGATAATTATTCTAGATTTTACCTTTCGGAGATCCGCTTTTAAAACCTTGTATAAATCATCTTCATTGTCAGTAAGAAAATCAAGAAGGCGTTTTAAGGTTTGCTTTCTTTCCGAAATGGACGATGGTTCGCGATCCACAAATGGCACTTTCAGTTTCGTAATCTGTAAAAATTAAATTTTTTTCAACAAAAGCATTTTGAAGAAGCCTAAAAATCTGTGACAAACAATGACTTTAAATAAATTAATTAAAACAATTCAGAGAAAAACAAATTAACAAGTACAAAATATAAAATTAAACTTTGATCAACTATGACACACTCATCGAATGCCATTATGGTACAGATGAAAGTCAATTGTAATAACTTACATCGAACATCGCGATCAGTCAAAGCACAATAGAAATCGTCCTTCAAAATCAAATTGTTGCTTAAATGCTATAAATGTGAGCTGAACTTAAACACCGTCTAATTAATTAGAAATTATACTTACGAGAAATAATGAACGAATTCATATTTTTGATAGTATATATTTTTAGATTTCGTTACATATTTGTAAATTTAAACAAAACATCTCTTTTAGTTTTAACTTGTCATAGATAATGACGAAATCACATTTTTCACATTAGAATTAGACAATTACGAGATGAGATTAAACCCACTTTAAATCGTAAGCTGTGCCAATTTCGTCAATAAAGCTACTTGTGAAATTTCTACCTATAAAAGTATAATGGCATCAAATACATTTTTCCAAATGTTGGCTATGTCGGTTTTGTGTCCACGTGAGCTTGCGACAAATCCGACATTGTCACTTGGCACCTCCATATATAATAAATACCTTTTTTATAATTTTCATTCAAAATGAAATATACGAGCAATCGTACTTCTTCAGAGCATTTATTTATTTATTTCAAATGGCAGGCTTTGTGATATTTATCATTAGACCTTAATCTTTGACTTCAGCTTCCCCCAAGGGTGCGGGGGGGGGGGTACATTTATATCAGTTAGTTAATAGCAATTCATTAGCTGCCTTCTTGCTTCCCAGTATCTCTGGCTTTCCGTCGTTGCCTTTAGGGCTGGACACCGAATCAGGTGGGTCTTCTCCATTTCCTCCTGTAGGTTACATAGAGGGCATGTGGGTGAGTGTATACTCCCAATCTGTGAAGGTGTTTTGCCAAGCAATCGTGTCCGGTACGTAGTCTAAGCTCAGCAACGGCTTCGATTCTTGGCCAGTCGGGTATGTTGGAGAGTGCCACTATCCACTGTTTCTCCATTGTTCGAGCTTTAATTTCGTTGCACCTTGAGGTCTGGAATTCTCTTCTGATTAAGGCCTTCATTGTGTGGAAAGACATCGCAAAATCGTTGTCCCCTTCTTAGCGAGTGGGTCAGCAAGCGCGTTACCTTTAATGCCACAGTGACCAGGAATCCATTGTAGGA